CCCCCCCCTCCACACACACCCCCATAGTATTGGTAAATTTTGATACTGAATACTAAAATGCAGGGGTGAGCTGGGCTTCTGCAGTGTGGACTGTAGGAATAGGCAGATATACTTAGATGAAATGAAAAAGATTGAGATTTACACTAAGAAAATGCTAGCATCTTTAGTGCGGCAACGTCGAGAGGCCGGTGGACGGTGTAGTGAAACTACACTTCTGTCGGAGGATTACAGGCAGCCTGGCGAGCCATTGTCGTGCTCTAAAAATCGAGTTACATTCACATTCTCATAGTCGATAATATGTATAAGAGTACAGTTCAAAGGCGGAGCTAGCTAAGATTTTTAGTTTATGGGTTATATATGAACCATATTTCTTTTTATTTACTCGGTTCTAAATAAATTATTTTATACATATTTAATAAATTTAATAATATAAATAAAGGGTTTGAGACACATCTATTTAGTTCTGCCCCTGGTACTGCTATCGTGCCAGAAATTCTCGCATGGGGAGGTAAAGTTAGGGCTCCCTAATAAAAGCAATTCCATATTTAGGGCTCGAACGAGATTTCTAATAAATGATAACTACCTTTTAATTTAATTACTTTTCATAGCTACAAAGAATTTTTAATTTACCCATCCTAGTTATGCCAAATACAATATAGTTATTTCAGTGTATCAATATCTTTTCTTAACCCTATCTCTCTTCTTCCTCAACTCTCTGTCTTCTTTTTTCCTCTCACTTTGCTCTCGACAAGGCTGCCGTCTAACTCCGTCGCCGCTAGTCAACTTCTCCAGCGGAGCTCTACCAGAGCCCAACCAAACAATCTCCCACTTTTTTTGAGTTTGTTATAGTTTTCTTTNTCTCTCAACTCTATCACAGATCCAGATCTGAATATCACGAAGTCACGATGGACTATTACTGACAATGAAAATAATGGAAGAAGAAGATCGGAGGCGTCACCAAATCTGGATCTAACGGAGATGTCGGAATCCACAACTTCTTCTCCTTCTTTGTATCTCACATCTGAGTGTATTCGTCTGAACAAATTTTGGTAGATATAATGCGATAATGTATTCTCAGATTTGGCTGGATTTTTGTTTGTCTCTATTTTTAGTAGATATAATGTGATAACGTATTCTCAAATTTGGCCAGATTTTTACTTGCCTCCATTTTTAGTTTTAATACAATGTATACAGTGTTTTGCATGGCTGGAAGACGCCATCTCCGGCGAACTGTCTTCTCTTCTTTGTTATTGAGTCACATATAATGATACGAATTCATTGTATTCTGTACAAATACATTCAAATTTGAGTGTATTCTATATTTTTTAATGCAAATACAGTTTTTTTTTTTGTATTTTTGCATGTATTTATGTATTCTGAAGGTTAGTTTTTGTGGCAGATTTCCTGTATTTTTTGAATTTTTATTGTTTGAACAAACTCGAATTAAATATAGTGTAAAACTAGCTACAAATGAATACAGTGAATTGAATACAAACCAAATATTACTGTATTTTTTATTTTTTATTGTTTGAATACACTCGAATTGAATACAGTGAAATTGAATACAATGTAAAATAGTTAAAAATAAACGTGTAATTAAATACAGTGTATACATCCAAATTGAATACAACGACATACACCTTATTTCTTGATTTTATGTTGTTTGAATACAACGGAATTCAATGCAATAAAATTAAATACAATGTAAAATATATAAGAACGAATCATCCGAATTGAGTATAATGTATACAATCGAATTGAATACAACGACATATATCCCATGGCAAGCAATTAGTAGCTACGGATTACAATTAACTAAATTATAGCTATGCACGGCAATAAGCCTCCATACAATACTCATTTCTAAAAAGTCCTCTAAAGAGTATTTACTATTTCACCATAATCCTATTGGATAGTACCACTATTAAATTAAATTTGAGTAATGTGCAGTTGAAGAGAAAGATACATGTTGATGAGTGAGTTAACTATTTGCATGAATGTCCCTAACGTTGCAATAATTGTTGATACTAATGATGATTTTAATCCTTGCACTTATTAGAAATTTGAAATTAAAATTAGTTGATTTTTTTAAAAGAAAAACCTAAGAAGCGCAAAAGGTTTATTGAACAAAAGTTATTTTTTTCTTCTTCTGAAAACTCTCTTATTCAAAGTTTTGAATAATATGTTTAGAGGTGTTCATAAAAACCCGAAAGATAAATCTGAATGAAAACACTGTTTAAAATCCGGAAAATACTCCAGCATAATATACTGGAATTCCAGTATAATATATTGGAACTCTAGTATATTATACTGGAGTTCTAGCATAAGTATATTGGAATTCTAGTATATTTATACTGGAGTTCCAGTATAATATATGTAGACACCGGATTTTTGACCCTCCCCGAGGATTTTCGCATTTTTAGCATAAATATGTAATTTAGGTCTAATATACCTATTTTGACTATTTTTGCTTTATTTCGTTGCAAAAAGAAAAATTATAAAAAAAAATATATATAAATTTTAGTTTATGTATTTCTCATAAACTTGAAAAAATACAAAAAAATTGCACT